AAAGATGGTTCCTTGGCTGGCTGCCAAGCCTCGTGCTTGTTTACTCCAGCTCTTGGCTGATTGCCAAGGCTCGTGATCCTCGTTTGTTTACTCCAACTCCCTGAAGCATGATGAGCCCGATCATGTGCTGCCTGCCTGATGATCTTACTACGTGGCCCAATAAGCTGCCACTCTGCCTGCCCGCTATGCATGTGTGTGCCCTGATTGGTCCTGGCTGGGGGGAGGGCTGTTGGGAACGCTATATGAAGAGCTGAAGTGTGTAATAGAAAGAGAAAGTGAGAAGAGAAAGCCTGAACCTCACCTTGGTGTCTGTGTCGTCTTTCCTGGACTCTGTTGGTCAGAGTCCTGGTTTGTGGCATTCATAAATAACTTTGATTTGATAGCTTTCAACTACTGCTTTAAACACTGCACTGAGGAAACTAATTTTCAGTCTAAAATGACCTTGGGGGAGATCAAAGACCCAGTGCCACAGCAAATAGAGTCCTCTGCTGGCATCAGATGCTTTGTGCTCACAGCAACAGCACGTCCCACTGCACCAGGTGAAGGACAAAGGCCTGGGGTCAGCGTTTGTGATTTTGTTTAATAAACTAAAGCATCCCAACTGCTCCCTTCTTGTCTTTGAGATGAAAAAATGTTTCCTTCTGTGATAGAAGGGAAATATTCTTTGAGGTGTTCCTTCAGAAGCCTAGTATGAAGCCCTTGAATTCAAACTTCACAAGCCTCTCCCACAATGATGTGAAACTGCTCTGTGATATCTTGAGCCATCCAAAAGCAGCTGCTGGCCAACCATAACCTTTTCTCTGAGGACTGCAGTCTTTGCCTTCGTCCTGATCAGTAGCAAGTAGCTGATGCATCTTAACGTTGTACCCAATCACTTAGACAAAGGAATCCATTCATTGTGCAAGACTGTGTTGCCCAAAGTGCAGCCTGAGGTACATGGTGTTACCTCTCGGAAGTTCTTCTGAGGAACAAAACCCTGGGCCACCTAGACCTCAGCTCCAGTGCCCCGAAGGGATGAAGGACCGAAAGAGTCTCTGTGAAGCAGTTTCCCTGACAACAGCCTGAAACCAATGTGTTTGAGAAAATGTCTCACCACTGCTACTGGCTGTCAAGACCTGGCTGCAGTCCTCAGCAGCGATCAGAACCTGAGCAGTATACAGATTTCAGACAAGCTTCAGCTATTGTACGAAGCTGTCGTATGAAGCTATGAAGCCTCCCAATTGCCACTTAGAGAATATTGGTGGGAGGTATGTGAACTTACTAGTGCCTGCTGTGAGGCCCTTGCTTCTGCTTTCACCCACAGAAAGACCCCGTGAGGCATCAAGCTGCTGGAGACTACCCGGGACCACAGGGGGTGGTGCTGTGTGAGGCTCTGCAACAGCCAAAATGTACCCTGCATGTACTCAGGCTGTAGACACTGAAGAAACCCAGGCATTTCTGATTGCTGAGGAAGAAAGAAATCCTGACTTGACAATCCTATGCAATCTGTAAGCAGAAACAGAAAATGAGGGTAGAAATCCCACTCTAAGAAACTGTGGTGGACTGCAGAGATGATTCAGCGGTTAAGAGCACTGGCTGCTCTTGCAGAGGACCAGAGTTCAGTTCTAGCACCCACATGGTGGCTAACAACTGTCCTTAACTCCAGTTCCAGGAGATCCGACTCCTTCTTCTGACTTCCACTAGCAATGCATGACATGGGTGCACGTACACACATGCAGGCAATACACGCATACACATAAAATAAAAATTAATAACATGTTTTAAAAAAGAAACCTGTGTGTATTCTGACCCAAAACCACCTACAAAGAAAAGGGAGTGTGCCCTTACTTCAACCTATCTGTATGCAAGAATTGCAGATCACCGACATTCCAATGAGACACGGTTTCTGGCACCCTGTTCAGTGTGTATTGTAAGATGAATGGGGCTTTTCCTTTGCTCTGTGGTCTCAGACAAGCCACTCAAAGATCTTCCTGATAAGAATTTCTATCCTGTCTCATAAAGACATCATCATCATTATTATTATTATTGGTCTTTTTGAGACAGGATCTCCCTGTAGCCCCGGCTGGCTACTCACTATGTAGACAATACTGGCCTTGTTCTCACAGAGATCCATGGCCTCTGCCTCCCGAGTGCTGGGACTAAAGGCATGCGCCACCACGCCCAGCAACATTTTTTTTTTCCCACAATGACATCTTAAGCACCCAGTAAAATATTAAATAGCTTAGAATGCTTTGGAAAATCTTAAAAGGGAATTTTCTTGTTAGTGGGTGACTGAACCATTGCATAGGCCAGAGTAATGATGGTACCCTAGAAGGTTGCTGGAAAATTTTAACCAGATATGCATGAGAAACCATTGACAAGACCAGACACTTAGATAATGGAAACCATTGCTGTTTTATATTTTAAGAAAAAATAAAACTTCAGGCATTTTTCCAAATCTTTTACTGATTTCTTGTACCAAACCCTAATGCTTAATATGGTCATCTATCTTAAAAAAAAATGTATATTTATTTTTATTTTTGTAATCCAATAAAACTATTTCAAGGAAGTAACTGAGGTTAAATGAAGCCATTGAGGTGGACCACACTCCAATATGACCAGGGAGAAGAGAATCTAGACACAGTGGGTACAGAAGAAAGACTGTGAGTTCACAGCAAGAGGGAAAGTCAGGAAGAGAGGCCTCTGGGAAATCGTGCCTGCCAGCACCTCCACACTGGACATCAGTCTGGAGAACTGTGAGAACAAATGTTCATTGCTCCCGTCACCCAGCCTGTGGTCAGCCTGTGGTGCTTTCTATAGGAGTTTTAACAAATGCATAGAACATTCTAGATACTGGCTCAAATGGTGGTGTATCCCACATAGTAAGTGGGGGTTTGGGTGGCATGCTCTGGAAAATTCTATGACCCTAGTGGTGAGGAAGAAGATGGTGGCAAAGATATCAATTTGACTGTAATTGCTTCATAAAATAAGAATGGAAGAAGCAATCTTTTAAAATCTCATACTTCCCAGACTTGCCTCCAACATGCTATTCGCTAAGGCTAGCCTTGATCTCCTGATCCTCCTGCTTCTTCCAAGTGCTGGAATTATAGGCATTTGCCTACTTGAGTTTGCCAAAAATTAAATTAAATTAAAATTTTAAAAAAGTAAAACCTTTTGATGACCATGTATTAGGGGAAATGAGAGACTGTTTTATAAATAGGATTTTGCAAATAGTTTTTTAAAATTAGAATAAAGTACAGCCCTGTTTATATTACTTAGTGTTATCAATCAAATTAACTTTGAAATGAAGCTAATGTTATTATGTTCAGAATTCACTTTATTAGAGTGAGTTTCAAATACAACAAATGCCGTTTGGGTAAGTTTGTTGGGGTTGATCTATATAGCTTATAGGTATATAACATAAAGACTCCTGTTTTAAAATAACACATCAAATTATACCCCTTGCCTGACATCAGTTGCCACTGGTCACTCTCTATCTGGTCCAGGGGCTGCCCACTCTAAATGGCTCCTAAACGATACTGCCACTAAGAATGAATACAGATGTCCAGTGATAGCTTGTTTCTTTCATGTTTTGATGGGCTTTCTCTATTAAGAAACAGTGTATTTTTCATTCTCATTCACTACAAGCAATTTTTCTTGAAATGTTGCTAATT